TCATTGACTGGCTTCTCATAGATTTTTTGATAGCTTTTTTTGTTATTTCTGCACAAATATAATCTATTAGGTAGACATTTTTTCTAGATTTCTGATTTCCACTTGAGTAGGCTGTACCATTCATTCGCTTCGGGTAGGTAGATATCTAAATCTAAAATTAACTGTTATTAGCTTCCAAAGCTTTGCCGTTCTATAGACGAACGAGTTCTGGAAGAGTGTTGTTCGACATATTTCAAGGTTGACAACGAAAGGATGTCCCGATTGGGCCTGTCGAGTTCATCTGACTGGTATTGTTAGTGATGGAATGATAGTAGAGATATCTGAGGAACAATTTCCGTGGAAGTATCTATAGAATAGTGAAAGGTCGCCGACTTGTCTACGATGTTCTAATGATGTCAAAGTATTAGTGAGTGTGGCATCGCCCACCAGACGAATAGCTCTTCTCTGGATGGAATCTAAGAGCATCAGCGTGTGTTTGGGTGCTAAACCCCATATGTGAGAACAATATTCTAGAACTGGCCGTATCTGTGCTTCGTTGATCAAGAGAAGCTGTTGAGATGTGAAGTAGATTTTCGCACGGAATAAAAATCCGAGTTTTTGCGAAGCAGCTTTCGCTGTGGATCGTAGATGATTCTTCCATAAAAGAGTAATACTGATGGAAATACCGAGCATCGATATAGTGGTCTTGGTAGGAATGGTGGTACCATCTGACATCGTAATATCAGACATACTGAGTTCCGCCTTTCTAGAGAAAATACAGGCTTGAGTTTTGGTGGCGTTTAATTCAACAATGTTGTTAGTTCTCCAGGTAGTGGAACACATCGAATATTTAGATACAAAAGTTCACGAATTTTTTAATTATAGAATATATGGACGCGTTTATGTATCTAGTAAGCCGGAATAATAATGATAATAATACCTACCTATATTGGTGAAGTCTATGTAATGTCAGTTGGAACAAAACATCACGGCGGGCTGTCGGTTCCTTTGAAATTTCAAAGAGAGCGGCAAGGCGCTCCGAAATTCCTTCCATGATCTGTTTCAACTGACTTTGGATATCTAAACTATGAATACATATTATTATTTTGTCAAAAGTACATTCTTTCGTTGAGTTGTTTCATCAATTTAGATCTGGTAGATCTCTTATATGAACTCTTGATGGTGACATTTTCTCATCATGCGCCGTGATTGAGCAATTACGGAACAAATAAAACAATACGCACAGCACAAGTTGTCAACAAACACTAAATCACTTGTTTCATGGGGTAGTAATCAGAGTGGGTGATAAGTAATGTGGCTGGTCATGGGTCATTCTGATTTGGATCGTGGGTGTGGCCTAGCGAGGGGCGGAGATCGTGAGCGTAAATCAATTAAAAGTCAAAAATCGATTTGAAATGCATTATGCAAAAAACACGTGATTTTGACTCATCGACATGCCGATAGAAATATGTTAGCATTGTCTTATGTTGATGAATGTGAACAAAATTAAAAAAATAAAACAAATTCGTCATTTTCAAAAGCGATTTAACGAGAAACTGAAAGAAAAATTCGAAATATTCTTTCCACGATCTATAGTATTCATCAACATCAACAGATTGTCAAAAATTCAAATAAATCTATCGATTCATTTCCATTCTGTAGTTGAATTTGAAATGCATTATTTGGTATAGGCGTTATAAAGGTAGGGAACGACCTTAACAAGAATAATAATTAGGGCTCGAATTAGGGTATTACCATCATATAGCCAGATGGCCATAAAAGATCAATGTTGTGAATATGCAATAAGTATAGTTGGCATTTCGTAGAGAGGTAGAAAAAACCCTTATCGGGAAAAACCCAACACTTCGGATGATGAAATATGTACAGAGTATAAAATGTAATATGGTATACAGGAAAGTTAATTGAATATACAAATATATACATGAGTGGGAAAATTCCCCACAAATTAATGAAAACATCCTGTAACTCATTTGATTGCCAACGTCACCAATTGTCACTCATTCAGTGAATGTTTCTTTTAGGCTCTCTGATAGGAAAATTATTCAAACGCAGTGACATTTTGGAACAGATCATCTGATTTGTCCTTACTACACGTATATTGACATAATATTTATATTTTTATAGAAACGAGGAGATAAAATCCCCTAAAATTTGGAATAATGAACACATAGTCTCTTTATCTACATGAAAGAATCGTGAGAAGTGTTGCAAAAATTATGTTAAGTTCCTAAAGGCACAGGGGAGTAAATGAATGCCAATAATTCCTTATCAGTCCACCCGCCCATTCGAAACATGTCTCGTAATATCGATAAATAAACGAAGTTATATCTGCATTGTATTCTATATCAGTATTAACCCACCCATTATCGCCTTCAACTGAACAGGCGTTGCGAACTTTTCCCAAGAATAAATGGCCGAGAAAATAAAAGCTCTCAGGAAGAAAGGCATAAATCAAAGTGATAAATCAAAGCAGGCACGGTGTTATCAGGTGCAAGCCCGGGACGCTTATATGATAAACTCCTACAAACAAATTCCGCATTGTCCGGCAGCTAGTTGCAAGATCGTTTATCACATCCTAGAGCGCCGCGAGCCGTGATAAAGAGGCAATGAATGAGGAAGCGGCCGCTTAGACTTACACTGGGGCTCCGGAGCCTCTCGATGTCTCTCTCTTTCGAAGATAAATAACCCCTCAGTAATTGCGTGCGGAACGATACCATATTTCATACACGCCATGAGCCATAACTTAGGAGGCAATTACTATGAGTACGTCGTTTATCATCCGACTTCGGCTATTCGAGACAAGGGTGGTGCGCCAGTTGATAATCGAGATTAAATTGATAAAGAATCTATCCCTGCCAGAGTCAAACTGAAGCAATATCAACTTGGGGAATTGACATGAGCGGAGTTCTGCTTGATAAATTAGTTGGATTTTTCAAGTTGTTTTTCTTCTTTCTCCGTTTCCTCAAGTTGAATAATGACTTCTTGGATAGAATTGAGTGTTTTTTGGGAAATGATGAATGAAGAACGAAACTACTCGATCATCAAGACAGGATATCGCTTGCTCTCTGAATTGAACTACAATGAGAATTAAAACTTTTCTGATAGAGAAACTACTTTTTTGCTTCCTAATGCATTCACTATGAGTTATTCATCCATTATGGGTTGATCTGGTCGATTCTCGGCATTATGATTTCTGAATTATTTTGGAGACAATATAAGTTGTTCACCAACATCAAAGCCTGCCTGCCGGACATTTTCCGTTCGCTATACATATTTCTCTTGTGATATGAATAAGATCTGGTACCTCAATTCATTATTCATCCGGAAACTAACTAACAATCACCCGCAATAGTAATGAAAGTCAACTTGTCACTGTGATTCGAAATTTGTTGCCCAAATTGTTATCATGGAAAATGAATACTCTCGTGTAGAAAGAAAGGAATCGAAATCAGTTCAGAAACGATAGAAAGTGAACCAATTGACATGATTTCTTATTGTGGGTATATATTAATTGAATTTGTTGATACGAATTCGACGAAACAAACTTTCAACATTAGAATGAGTGCGCAAAAAAGGTATTCGGGTACAAACTCGTATATCAATATGACGATTCATTATCTCAAACATTGAATTAATATTCCAGAGAACTTGTCAGATTTATTTTCAGGAACAATCTATACACTATTTTTTGATCTTTTGGAGCGCACGAAAGGAAATTCCTATAATGTTCGTGGAACATTGCGCGTAACTAGGGAAGACAGGTAAATGAGGGGTGTTGGATTATCATTTTTGAACTTTTGAAGGTTATAAGCTCTTGGGAATACTTCCATGTTGTTCAACATTTTCCAAAGTTAACAACGAAGGGATGTGCTGACTGGGCCTGTCGGCTTCAACCATAGCTGAGAACCTAAAACACAAGCATTACATCAATTATTAGTAGTAACTCGTTTTGTGTCTTGTTATTGATAGGAAACTACGTACTCGTCGAAGTTTCGAACCTATTTTTATAATATCTATTACTGAGAGTTCATACCACTGTATTTTTCAGAAAATCATGAGTCTATTGTTCCAAGTAAAACGTTCATTATTTCGAAAAAAAATCAGAAAGGAATGAAACTTATGAATCCAATTGTGAATTGTTGGGATAATTTCAATTGTTCAACAAAACGAAATCTGCTATCAACAATGAATCTTCAAATTCACAAAAGGCTCTCACAGGTTTTCTCAGAAGAGTGTTTCAAATACCACCGGACAAAACTTTTAAATCACCACTGTACTGAATATTGATTGTTCACTTTTCATTGAGATTATCTGATGAACACGAAAAATGAATCATGTATTGTGTTTGAAATAGTGTCAGTTTTCAACATTGTCAACCTGTTTTGAAATGAAAAATTTTCAGATATTTTATGATGGAAATTGGCATTAACAGTACTCGAATTACAGATTCGTGATTTTATAATTTCTCATTTTAGCATTTTTTTCACACCCTGTATGATGAACATCAATTCTCAAATGTCAATGGCGCGGTAGATTATATGAAACTGAATTGAGTATTAGGGATGTATTAGGGCTGATATCATCAGGTGTGGTTGCGTTTTTCTAGAAAATCGGACCGACTGCTTCACCTAATTCATTATCACAATGAAAACAAAATGGACTCCAACATAATTTCCTCCAAACAATTACATTAAATCTCGAAATCAGTTTCTATGCTGTCTTCTCAAGATTGACTCCTTCTAGCAATGTAATATTCGTAAATTCTACCTATGCATAAAAATCATTCATCGATTTCAAAGAAACAATTCTTCGAAACAGAAAGTGAATATTGTTGACACAGTGCTACAACGAATATGAATTTGCTGACCAATAACTAGAAATGCACTTGCTTACTTTGCATAACGCATTAATGTTGGTCATATCGCCTGGAAGATACGTTATAAAAATTATGTACAATTAAATATCAGTTGGTAGATATTTATTCATTTTCTTATCTAACGATGGTGGCACCAAAGTTTCTTCTCAATAGTGATAAACAAAATAGTGATGGTGATAAATCTCCTAGTCCAGAACCCTTCAGGGAACCCGAAGATTTGGTGTCGATTGATTTGCACAATGAAAGAAAAAGTCGGAAAAGTAAGTATACCTGCTTTATGCTTTCAACTTCATTCTATTCATATAGCTCTCTTACTTGTTTGGCCATCTGAAATAGAGCAATGTACGCATCGAAATTGATTCTCAGTATTATCGATAGTGGAACATCTGGATTAGAATTAATTGATGAATCAGATGAAATAAACAGAGGATGAGACGAATGAATGAATTCATAATAAAATATGATTTCAAGTGAAATAAAAAAAAACACAAGGTCACAAAGTATATGTGAAAAAAGGTTGGGAAATTACAAGGAAATATATATATACCTACTGCTGAGAAAAGAGCTTTATACCAATCTGAAAATGAATTGGACTGAAGACCTTTATTGTTATTTATTTTCAGTGTTTTTGTTAGGTATTCTTTTTCAAAGAATTGGGCTACTTTGAGATGTAATAATTGTTTCCAAGACCAAAATATGAAGTAGCTATATTATGCGTTTCGTACAATTGTATTTCTCTGAAAGTATCAGCGAATGGCAATGAATATGACGATAGAAATTTGAAATGTTTGACAAAAAAGGGGAACTTTTTATCACACTGAAAACAAAATGCCTCGCAAAATACGCTACATATTTAGTTGATGATATTAATGATAAGTTTTCAAACATCACCTGAAGAATAAAAAACCTAACAAACCTTCACAATTTATGAGAGGTGCCAAAAAACAAAGAAAAATGGAATTTTAACGCTCTGTAGATTGGTAACGAAGTGTTTGCAGAGTGAACCAAAATATGATTCTATCTAAAATATGATTCAATTTCTGTGGGACATCTGAATATCGTAGGTACTACAACATAGCTAGCACATTTCGAGGTAGCATGAAGGTGAGAAAATCATATACATTAATTATGACCTATAAGATAATGAAACAAAATACAGCTAATAGATACTAATAGAATAAAGTACATATTATGAATCGGTTTATTAGGATAAGGTCCAAATGACTTGGGGGATGATATCGAAGGAGGAAATCGAAGGGCAGATAGATCTATTGATATGGTTCAATAGGTAATTACTACTTGGCGAGAGGACGACTCAATTACCTATAAAGAAAAGTGAATTTACCTTCTAAAATGTATTTTCTCAGTTCTGATTTGAAAAGACGCAAATTCATGGTCCTCAGTGATACAGGAAGAGCATTATATATTTTTGTGATCGTGAAGGAGAAAGATCGTTCAAAAAGGGCAGTATTATGCATCGGTGGAGTAAGAAGGAAACGCGATCTGGTGTTGATGGAGTGAACCATTTGCCTGAAAACAATTTCATCAAACAAATATGAGGGAGTTTTGCTGAGAATTACTCCATGATAAAAATAGCTGGTCTGCAGAATCCATCTTTGATCCATGGATAGCCAATTACTGTCGGGAAAAAAGTTTAACTTCTACCTGAAAAATGAGTCCCTGGAATCTTGTTACTGACTTTAGAAACACCCTGTATACAGTATTATTTCTTCTTATTTTATGTAGGTACCTGCATCCCCATTCTGGTTGAGATAGCAAGGTCACTCAGTTGTTGAAGAACTTTACAGTTTTCGTAGTCCTGTGCCACTTTTTTATCAAACTCAAGATGGTTTGCACAGATCCTAACCTAACTTATTTCGTTCATAAGTAACAGGGCGTTCTTGAAAATTAACACTTTTTGAACCCCCTCTATATCTACGTAGTTTTTGAGCGACACTGTCAAATTGAAATCTTTTTCCGTAGAATTCATTGTCGCACTCAATTGTTTCTTCCGGGGTATGGTTTTTGAGATACTACTCAAATTTATGTTTTTTTTATAGAACATCCTGTATTTTATCAGCTCATCAAGAACTTTCATTTTTCCTTCGAAATGATAGATTTTATATGAAGATGAAATTTTCAAATATTCTCCAAAATCACTATAATATCGAATTTTAATAATTAGCTATAGATTTGTTATATGAAGAAGTTGGAATTCGAGGAATATCACTTTTGATTTTTCCTTGAAGAGGACAAGAACAATACTAACACTAGTTCACTAACAAAACACAAAACATCGGTACATACCTAATAGCAACGAATAAATAGTAATAACATGTTCAAAATGGATAGAAAACTAAACCAACTTAATTTCAAGATTATTCAATAACTTATCCATGCATTTGTTCAAATTGATGTCCCTTCACCCTAACGAACATAATTTGACACAGTTTCTCAATACGTCTTAATGCATCTATAATCATTAAAGGATGTCATTGTAGTTCCTGGAAAACTGCCTCTGTTGTTGCTCGAAGTGTGTTGTGCCTCTAGTGTATTAAGACGTATCGAGAAAGTGTATCAATTGTGTGTTAGGAAAAGTGGACATCAATTTGGACAAATAAATGAATGAGTTACTGAATAATGGGCTTATATCACAAAAAAATTCTATTTCATAATTCGATAGAACTCACCCAAACTAGAAGTAGCACACATATATTGGGACAATATCGGTGCAATATTACGAAAATATCGGCAAAATATTGTGGAAGTAATATTGGCGAGAAAAAAAATGTGAACATTCGGCGATATTGGTACAATATCAGTTTCCAAATGTGGATAGAATATTCTCATATTAATATTGGTTGAATATTCGTAGAGTTATATCGGACACAAAATGTAATATCAATATTGGCGAGAAATGAATGGTGAACATTCGGCAATATTGGTGTAAGTAATATATGAAAATATCGGTGAATCATTGAAAATCATCATGAAGGTATGTTGTCTCAGAAATATTGGTAGAATATTCTCATACCAATATTGCTGGAATATTCGTGAAGTTATATTGGTCACAAAATGTGATATCAATATTGCTGATAAATGGACAGAACATTTGACAATACTGGTGCAATATTGGTTGGAAATATTGGTACATTATTGAAAATCATTATGTAGCTATGTTGTCTTCAAAATATTGGTGGAATATTTGCATACCAATATTTGCGTTTGCGATTTATTCGCATCAGGAATAATCACAAAGGTCAGCCCAGCCGGAGTGCAATGGGAGGGCCTTGCCCTGGGGAAGCCGCCTTGTTGATCACGGTTAACCCCTACTCCAGGTTATAATACTTCACAATCGTCTAGAGCCAATATTTATATTCTCTCGTCCGATCGGCAATGGGAGTACGTCACCAATCATTTATAGCGCCATCTATCGACATCGGTTTGGGAGTGCGTAATATGGAATAAATATCGAAATTTCGATATCGATATGTATTCTCAAAACAATGTGTGAACAATATTGCTCACATGATATAGTGAATCACATATCAGCCAATATAAGATGATATCATTTTCTGAATATGGCTAGAAAACTATTCACCCGATATGCAATTGAACTTGAAAATACAATATTGTTTTTCTCTTCTATGTCCGATATAAGATATAAATTGAATTGCTGTTATTGATATTCATATTTGAATCATTGAAAACCCCTTCAGAATCGACATGGGGAGAATGTTCAAATTGCGATATTGGTTATAATTGTTGGAAACAATATGTATACGATATTTTCCGCATGATATCAATCAACATAGGTAAATTTAGATGTTCCAAATATTGTTGAAACAATACTCATCCAATTTGCCGTCGAATCCGATTACACAATATTGTATATCCGCTTCAGAATCGACATGGGGAGAATGTTTGAATTTCGATATTGGTTATAGTTTTTGGAAACAATATGTGTGCGATATCTTCCGCATGATATAGTTGGAATGATATCAGTCAATATAGGTAAATTCTATGTTCCAAATATTGTAGAAACAATATTCGACCAATATGCCGTCGAACTCGAACATACAATATTTCATAACCGCTTCAGAATTGACATGGGCCCAGCAAACATCGAAAGGCGGTAGAAAGCCGGGCCCATGGCGAGAACGGCGGGCAAATGTCGATGTCGGCATGCCTCGAAAGGCCCTCCATTTAATTTCAAAGGATTATATGACGAAGGCAGAATGTACACATACTTATGATGGGCCTCTGTTTCCCAGCCGCTAGTCTTCCGCTGTATGTATCCAAGTCCAAGGGCCATCAAAATTTCAACGGAGTGTGCCGTCATCACTCACTCAACGTTGGCATCCCTCGCTCGCATGAGTTTTTATTTTGATCATTTTGCAGTGGTAACAATGATTCAGTATGGCGTATATTAATTTCTTTGTTTATGTTGTTTCAACACTCTCAACAGAGATTTTAGTACTGTGTTCAGTTCGTGTTTGGTTTTCTAGTGGATTTTTATACAAAGTGGAAGGATATTGAAATAAATACAGAGTGAGTGAGGAACAAACATATATACAAACTTGCACAGCTAAATAATGCCCCTATTTTAGATAATGATTTAAAAAACACCATTGGACAAACAGATGCAATAATAGTTTGGACATGTTTAGCGGATACACAAGAATCTAATAATATAATAATATGAGGACTTTGATGATGCATGAGCTTTCATCACATATGAATCATAAATCTATTTTCGAAACGATAATCAAAGAGTACCTACTTGAAGAAACAGTTATATTTCAAGAATTACTGTAGGTATGTATAATAATGTTGCATGTTTTGGATTAGTAGAGAATGAAATCATTCAATCTTTCAGCAACAAAATCAACAACCAGCAGCCCATCAATCACAGATATTAATGAAGAAATCACACAATGATCCAGACTATTATATACATTTCTTCATGGTATATGATATCTCACTTCCAGGCAACACTCATATCAATATGATAAAGAGTGAGGTTCTCCATATCTGGGAATTGTTTTCTTGTGGATTGAACTCTATTGTTGACAATAACTTGATCAATATAATAACTGATTACCTACATACATACCTTTCAAGTTATTAGGTAGGTACATAGGTGATGTAATTTTTGACCTAGAGTTAGCAACTTTTTGAAACAAGTGGAGAAACAAATATCTATCCTGCATGATGAAACACAAATACCTATTATTGTGAATTGTAGGTACCTTTTTATGATGAGTATACAGAGTGATATGTAGAACTAAAATTAAGATGTTTGATGTTTCCATAGTTGTGATATGTAATGTTCGAGATCATGGCAATAATATACACACATGGATATTTTCAGTTCTTGTTTTTGTATGGTGTATTTATACTGCTAGTTTCCTGGAAAAAATTGTGATATCAGGATTTTTATGTAATCATTCAACAACTTCAGGTGAGGAGTGAATTCCACATTTCTGTTATACCCAGAGGATTCACAAAAAACTGGGAGACCTCAATTCTGTTTTTTGAAGTTCCACATTTTTCAACCAGTTTGAAAATAAAGAGAGTGATGAAGATCTGAGTGAAAATGAGATACTCTGCTTCCCAAGTGGTGATATAAACTGGGATACCTATCAAAAAACTTATTTTCACTGAGATATATGCATTACCCTGTATATTTTTTGACAAACCTAGTTGAAAAATAGGACATCAAAAAACAGAAAACCATGAATATTGAATTCATTCAACCCCGTTAACCAACTAACCAACGGCCCTCAAAAACTCCTCTATTGGGGGAATAAAAATTCTCAAGCGGCCAATTAATGGCAGTCTCAATCGGGCCGAAGATATGCCATGAATGCGGTACATTTGAGTACTTGCATCTGCCCACCAGAAGCCCTGCAATGTAATAAGCGGCATACTGATGGCTCTAGAGAGGCGGTCGGCTGTCGGCCGCCGGGACACGGGCTAGCCGGCCCAATTTAGTTGTACAATAGAGGACCGCTGTTACCGCTCGCCGGCAAGTTTCATTGTACCTTTAGAGGGCCGCAAAAATCATGTTTGCTGGGGGGAGAATGTTAAAATTGCTTTATTGGTTATAATTGTTGGAAACAATATGTATACGATATCTTCCGCATGATATGGATAGAATGATTTTAATCAAGATAGGTGAATATGATATTTCGAATATTGTTGAAACAATATTCAACCAATATGCCGTCGAACTCAAATATACAATATTGCACAACCGCTTCAGAATCTACATGGGGACAATATTCAAATCGCGATATTGGTTATAAATGTAAGAAGCAAATTGTATACGATATCTTCCGCATAATATAGATAAAATGATATCAATCAAGATGGGCGAATATGATGTTTCAAATATTGTTAAAACAATATCCAACCGATATGCCGTTTAACTTGAATGTACAATATTGCATAACCGCTTCAAAATCGACATGGGGAGAATGTTCAAATTGCAATATTGCTGGTAAATGTGGGGAACAATATGTATACGATGTTGTAGTATCGACATTCGTAAAACAATATTATATAACATTCATAGATATGTTTTTCAACACATTGTTAACGAATTTTACAACCAATATTGTTCCAATATTGTAGCTGACAATCCATATTCAGCTCAGGTTGAACCAATATTCCACCAATATTATCATTCCAATATTGTTTGTCCAATATACTCTCATATTGGACCTATATTATTTTTCACATGTACGATATATCTATATCGGCCCAATATGAAATCGGGTTCCAGCCAATATGATGTGCTACCTGGGAGCTCACCATCGCAAACCGATTCTTGCTGTGAGCTCCCTACGTTTTATAAAAAAATATTGAAATCCCTAATTTTTCGGACCTCTGAAAACGAGGCGATGATGTGACGTCAAAACCCTAATACTGAAACAAGACCATTCCAGACAGAGATGAATGATACATGATTTCTGACAGAGTGAATTAGCGCGAGATCACAATTGAAGGAATTAATATATCAGTTGCCTCAGTCTCCGTCGGGCGTTTGGTATTTTCTTTTAACTATGGCGAGATGAGGTTTCTACGTCATAAGAGTGTCCGTTTTCAGAAGGTACTATTATTTATGTCCAAAAATAAAACATTCCAGCTAATTTTTCGATCGAATTATGTCGTCAATCATCATTTATGTATAAAAGGATCATTATAAACATGGTTTGAGTTAAAATCTCTACTAAGGTGTACACGCCCATTTCGAAATTGAATTGTCTCAGTGCATATTTATTCAGGTGATTATTCTACTTTATGAACATTTTATTACTATTTTTTTTTTTTTATTATATTTATTTCTATTATAGGTATACCAACGTTTTGTGTCTCGTTAGTAGATCAGTGTTGGTATCGTTGTTGTTATCTTCATTGAAAAATCAATAGAAATATTAGCTCAATTGGAATTCTTTTATATGAAAAATCCATAGCCCACTATTAAAATTCAATGTTTTAGTGATTTTGAAGCATTTTTGATTATCTTATATCAATATTCATTAAAAATAATTTCGGAGAGAACAAATGAATTCAATGAGCTAATAAATACATGGTGTTCCATTGAATGAAACATATGTTTGAGTCGTTCCTCCAAAACCATACCAGGCAAAAAAATTAGTGCACCACTGGATTCTGCGTGAAATTCTCTATGGAAAAAGATTTCGATTCGACATTATCGCTGACAGACTTCGTTGATATGCAGGGGGTCCAAAAAATGTGAATTTTCAAGAGAACGTCCTCTAACTTATCTGTTCAGGCCAAGAAAGTGCGAGATACCTGGCTGTCTCAACCAGAATGGGATGCACTTTACAATGATTTTACACCGGGTTGTATACTGCGTATATATTTTTTATGAACTTAGAAACAAATGAATTCAGAGAAAAGAGAATTAATTATCTTAGATTTCAACACATCATACTATTCCAATTCAGTTCTCAAACAGTGTTTCACAACATCCGTGAGAAGCGATTTTCAGATAATTTCAGAAAATAATGGAGTTTGAATGAAACATTCTCGAATGGAATCATAACGTTCTCCTCAAGATATCACCCCAAACTTATTTTGTTGATTGCATTCATCAGTTTTCTTTATCAGAATTGAATGTCCAATAGATTTTGAATACGATGGCAGATATATTATAATATTTATTATACCTTTGACCATGTTTCTTCAGTGAATGAATTATTATCAAAAATATAAACTGATGCGTCACAAAAAAGGAAGCTTACAGGTACTGCAGAGCGAAGTTCTCCGTATCATTACCAATGCTAATCGATATTCTCGGGTGGCTGATCTCTACGAAATGTGTCATAATATACCACATATCAAATATCATATATTGAAAATTCCGAATAAGTTCCACAGCTTCCTTTGATATTTTTGGGAAACCCTCAGCGATTAGCACGGAATTAAAAATCTGAAAATTTCAAGAATGTCGCGTAATCGATTACCTCGAAATTCCTACACAGCGACACGGTTCTCTGCGTGGCAATAGTCTCGCTGAGGAGAGCGATCCGCTGATCATATGAGTAGGCTGCCCCGAATGGCTGATTGGCTCAGAAGCCGATTCCGGGCAGACCTCACGCATACGGTCAGCGATTTCAGAGCTCATCGAAGCCACACATCTGAAAAGGGTTTCCATTTCGATTTTCTCTTGAAGTTAACGAGAATTTCCAATCGTGCCAATGTTTGCATTCAACGCTAACCTATCTAGGTTCACCTCGACTATTACTCATTATAGGGAGTCAAGCTTCGGGAGATGGAACACGCTCACTAAGAATCTGATCATATAGGAGTATCTATAACACCAGCCACCTCCATACTGCATGGAGTATCTATAACACCAGCCACCTCCATACTGCGTGGACGGAGATATTCTGTGCGAAATCTGATATAAAATGTAATCGTACTATCAGAAATTGTCTTGATATGTATAGTTGAGAAATAGGAAATCAATGAATTTGTAAGGCTTGATACGCTGAAGTTTCCGGGATCGAATCCTGCAACCATCATCATATTTTGTTATTTTAAAAAGAATCGGCCTCTTGAATCAAGTCAATATATTATAAACAATCAGATAAGAATATAATTAGTTGCTTCAAGTAATACGGTAGGTACTTTCGTCGGACGCCAATCCCAATAAGGGATTCATATATTTCAACAATAATACATTGGATCCAAGAATTTGATTGGTCTGTACATACTCATTTTTCTCTATCCAACTGAAATACGGTTTCACATGCAATCTTCTCTGTCTATGTGATAACTTGCTCAATATTTCGGTCTTCATATATCATTTTCTCCCTTTCTTTCATTCTTAATGTTATCGTTATTCCTGTAACCCATTCCTCATCATCACGTGAGATGATTTTCATTCATTCTCATGTATAATTATTTATAAATATTGTAGTGATTATTCAGTCATTTTTTTATTTCAGATTCGAAATCAATTGGTGATAAAGAAGTAAAGTACAAGGAAAAAGTGTTCAAGATTTTGGTGTTGGTCTTTGTCTTCAACATCATTATCCTGATGATTTTTGCGGTAATGGTGTACTTGAATGAGGGTAAGAACATTTTATATTAATATTGTATCGTATTGTATGCATGAGAGGTGAATACACTCGGATCTAAAAGATCTATATTGTGCCCCTTGTTTTGCTACACCGTTGTTCTGCAATAATATATAGCAATTTCTCTAGTCATATAGCAGAAGAGGGAATATTGAATCATAAATCTCATACCTCCATTGATCTATAACTGATGATTTGTATTTCTAACTTTCAATCTATGCTTGGAGTTGGGATTTTTTCTCGTAGTATTAATGTCATGGCAACGTCATTTAATGACCTTGGTGACCGCGATTAGTCATAATTCACTTTCTTATCTGCCACCAACGTTTTCTCTTGTTCTGATTGACAAAATTCAATCGGATACCGAATTCTACAAAATATATTTCATTGTTTCAGACCTTGCTTTCGTGCCTTTGTAGAAGCACTACTTGCCTGTCCAGAGTCCATAAATGAAATACAATAGAAAATCAGTACAAAATTACACAATATTATCTCTCAGGCAATAAAAAAGAAATAATACTGCAAAATATGGTCTTTCAATCTGCAGCAATCAAACAACAACAATTATCCAAATCAAAAACATCTAATCCACCAATTCGATTTCAAAAATTGCATTGTATATGATACTCATACAGTTGTTCTTCATTAGCTCATTATGATGATCAGTCGATTCGATATATTTTATATATACTCATTACCTTATGAGTAATAATGTTGCGCTGAAAACTATGTCTAGCAGGAAATTTCAATAATTTTTTTCATACAATTTTTTTTCATGGGTCTTTTTTGGAGATGAAACACCAACTTATTTTTTTTTTGGAACACCCTGTACTTCATCATTTTGTTGAATTCGTTCACTTCTTTTCTTCGAATTAATGTATAATACTCATGAATTTTTGTCGATATAACTTCTAGCTGAAATGTTACTACGTTTTTCCTCATTCAATAAATAACTTTTATTTTGAAACTGTCAGGAAAACAAAACATTACTACATCTCTATTTTTTTTTATCGCTTGGAGCGCACGAAAGGGAATCCCTATAATGTTCAAAGAACATCGTGCGTTCCTAGGGAGGATAGGGACAGGAGGTAGGTATTGGAATTTTTTTTGAACTTTTGGAGATTATATGTTGTTGGGAATACTTCCACAGGCAATGCATTCCAGAGCCTAGCCGTTCTATGGATGAAGGAGTCTTGATGATGATGATGCATAAATGTTGACTTTTCTTCACTGTCAAAATAATTCATAAAATAAACATGGAATATTTCCTAAGGAAGGATTGATTTTCAACAGTGCCTATTATCATTGATTGATTATTCACCATAAAACAAATTCCATTATTGAGATAATAATTGAACAATTACTTCTAACATAAATTTCCACAGATGTTCCATGTAGCTGATCATCAGAAACGTTAGATATTTCTTGAAGAGTTGATTGCAAAAGTTTATGAGATATTTTAATTCGATTGGAAAAAGATGAACAATTATTCAATTGTTTGTTAGAAATCTCAACTTTGTTATTCAGTATATCTTCTATATATACTTCAGCTACTGATGTGGCTTTTCAGAAACCGTGACGTTTTATGGATGTAATATTGCCCCCTGCATTGGCCAGAAGAATTACAGAGCTTCTCCTAAAACAGTGACCTGTGTAGCTCTTATACATGTCTTTTTCAAACCATTTCGCAATCATACTGAGAATTTCTCCTATTTTATTCATACCGTAACGTTGGTTAATACATTTTCCTCCCGAATATTTCGAAAATCCAAAATTGGAAACTTTAAACGTTCCTGGGTGATAGGTCTTCGTATATTTTAACAGTTAATATAGATCCAGCATGTTCAATGACATCCATGGTTATATGTAATGATACTTCACGGCGACAAGCTCTGGTAATACCCAAGTAAAACTACTTACCTCACGGAATCATGATTATATCTGTACCTCATATTAAGGTAAATTTGTTTCGTTATCAGCATCGATATCTTCCCTTGATAAAACTTTAGATTTCTTCCCTCGATATCCGATGCTTTCGTTCTTAAAGGGCGGAACCAATTTTGAAAACTTCCTTCGATTGATGAATATTTTCCTTAACATTCAATGTACTTTTCAACATTGAGTAGACAATCCATTAGGTAGAAGGTTTCATATGATTCAATGGTAAAAAAAGAAACTAGTTACTACCTACTTGAAAAAAAATATCGTCGACAGACTTTGTGACTTTTATTGCCTTTTCTTCTAAAATTCATATTATTTAATTTTTCCTCAAAATATCTGAGGAGCACTTTTCCAGAAAACTCTTTTACATGTTTCTTGTCGCACCATTCACGAAATTGGTCATTTGTTTCCTCATACACTACCTTGTATTTGGCCGGTAACATACTATATACTATTGCATTTGCTTTGTCAGACACAATTGATGGCATATCACTTCCACTATCATAATCAACATTCATTTTCTTGAAAATATCTTGAAATTGAAGCAACTACGAGCAAACACATTCAAACAGTCAAATTAGTGGCGTGCCAACAAACCGTTTCTATATAGTAACAACACAGAAGACCACAAGATGCTCTGAAATTGTGCGAAAACTTATTGGGACAAAAAAACATGTTATGGTTGGCGATGTTAATTCACATTCACAGTTCAACAAATTTTGTTCGTATTCTCCGTATGAAATTCTAATCTTCATGGCACATTCGAGAGATTTATTAAATAAACACTCTCATGCTATTCGAAGAAACACTCATTTTACGTATACTTGAAACAAAGATAACTATAAAAATTTCGAGACTGAAAAAACATTTTCTTCAGAAGTGTACGTGATTGACCCTATACTTGACGCAAATCATTTTGGAAAGTGTCATTTTCAGTCAACAATGCGGGAAACTTTTTCCCAAACTAGTGCGGAATTTTTTTTTCCACACTAGTGCAGGAGAAATAATGATATGATATTAACGCGAAAAATAAGTATTTGGTGATTGAATATAAAAGTTTGAGCTTGTTTGTTGCTGTATTAAGTAAGTTGTTCCGAATCATACATCGAATATCGAATGGCACTATTTATAGTGAAAATTAAGAAATTGACTGTTTTAGCAATCCCCCTATAGAATTGGATTGAACTGATGTTGTGGAAAACAATCATTGTTGTTATGTGAACCAAACCGCAAATTAGTTTATAATTGTCGGAGTGACAGAGACAGCGTTACTGTCGAAAAAGTGAAATTGCCACAATGCGATCATACATGATTGTGATCAAAGCTTCTAGCTACAGATGCGTTATTGCCAACGAAGTGTCAAGAAAGGTATGAGAAGCAATACACGCGTTTTATTGAATTGTGCAACAATAAAAAAATGAGAAAACCAAATGAGGAATAAGTATATTTGGCTCATTTCCCAGAAATATATCAAACCTACATAGGCCAAACACCTCATGGGCATGCTGGCTTCCGCAATAAACCTACATGATTTTATTATTCACATTGAACAAATCAATCAATTCCCTACGGTTGTACAAAAAATGTTGTTCCTAACTCATGCGGAGAGTGTATTTCCCGAACTCGACTGCTTGACCGAACTCCGCTTCGGGTCGTTCGGGTCAACGGCATTTATATCACTTTCCGCACTTGTTAGGGAAAAGCGCATGGAAATGAATATGAAATGTCACCTATTTTTCTATCAAATGGTGATATCATTATACAGGGTGATCCAAAAGTAAGTGGCATCCTTCCGGAGCCGTAATCCTTGCGAAAAAAAATTGGCAGAAAGTTCCTATTGATACGGGTCCGAAATTGCTTCCTATGGGACCTGTGCCCCTTTGAATAGGACACCTTGAAGACGATTTTTTTTCTATAACTTTGAAACTAATCAAAATTGAATTTTGAAAATTGGTGTTCGGTATGAACATTCGATCGTCAATAAGATTCTGAATTCGAAATTCCAAAATTCCGTTCAGGGCCTTCACATGCGGTAAAAGGTAGGGGTAAGAACTTCCCTTTTTTCACTCTTCAGGTTAATGTGATTTTGTCTGAAAATTATACAATTCTAGATTTTTTACGTAAATAAGACATTGTTAATTCAATTCAATGAAGCGTACCATTTACGAGAAAATCGACTCTGAAAACTTTCTGATTTGTATATGTTAATTGATGAAAATTATTCTGCATCACCATAAAAAATGACCCTTTTTAACTACCAATTTATTTAACCTCCTAGAATTTGGAGTCTCATTTATCATCAACTATTCCTACACCAATTTTCATAATATAATATTGGAGGGTTTTGAATTTATAGGGACAAAATCGCCTTCATCCTGTTTCATTCAAAGGAGCATAGCTCCCTTAGAGAGCATTTTCGAACCAATATTAATTAAAACTGATTTTTTCGCTATGCATCTACAGCTGACAATATTTTGATAACGAATTCATAACTTTCAAGCGATTGAGACATAGTCAAATGAATTCGAGTGGTGGATGGAAGTCGACAAATTTCTAGAAGAAAAAAAATAATATACATAACTTTTCATTCAAAACAATTGCCAACGACCCTCTAGATTTTTTTGATGCGCTCGGTGCATGCGGCAATATTTCTTAGTTATGGAGATGTTGTGAAGTTCACATTTGTTTTCGAATAATGTTTCTTTCTGGCTTTGATAGCACTCAAACAATCAGACTCTGACGTACTATCATTGCCCAATCCTTTATTCTTCGACTTGGCTTTCAACAATTGACATATTGTTTTCATTTAATTGAATAGGGAGTGTTCCCTGCAACAGTCATCGTTCACTCCTGGAGTGATCTTCGGATTATTTGATTCAGAAACAAAATATTCCAGTATTCTTAGCCACCTTCTCCATCACTAAATATGAACTCTCTGCATATCTACCACGTGTAAATCATCTTCAAAAAGAACGAAATGTGTACATTACATATCAAATATTATGAGGAAGAACAACTATTTTCTACTCTATCGACAGCGACTGTTTTATTTTCTATGTTTTTAAAGTCATTTTTTTTAAGCGGTGTATGTTGAACAGAACAAGAATTCAAATATCAAAGTTCATTGATATTCACTGTTGTTAGAGTTATAGTCTTAAATGATTATTAGTATGACTTCGTATTAATTGAAGGATTGGAACATTTTTCCAGTCAGCTTTTATTGAACAGATTTCTCTCATTTTTCAGAAAAATATTTATTCAAAACGAAACCACTGTCCTTACCAATCTTCAATAGAGCTGGAGAACAAATCATTCTAGATGAATCTGTAGACCCTTTGGAAGATATGATCCTCAGATGCTTAGACCAAAATAGTTTATCAGTGTGTTGTGATTTCTTCAAGAATGCAGAAACTTCATTCAACTTGGATGAATGGTGCGAGTTAGATAACATGATTTCTTCAATGGATATAGATGTCAGGCGAAAACGAGAACTCAAACGTAAGATTGAGCACAATATAAGAAGCAAAAATGATATTATTGAAGAATTAACTGATTTTGTAGGTGATGCAGTTCCAGAAGCCATAAATCAACTCATGTACACTGACAACAATGTTCAAGATCATCCGGAATATTACGATTTTGACTATGAAGATCATAATAAAATGTATTTAGATCACAATGGAAATATTATCAATATGGATTATAACAATGATGGGGATGGAAACAGATATATTGATTATGGATACCAAGAACAATCGTTCAACTATCAAGGATATCCAAATGAAAATGAGAATCTTTATAATATTCCTAGTCCATCTCCATTTACTTCTGCACCATTACCCTATGAATTTCCTACATATCAACGGAATAACGGGCAGCACAGAAGCTCTGCAAACATTGAAGAAGTACTTCCGAAAAATGATAATGAAGCAATAATTGACAAATACCAGAGACTACATGAGCCAGAGCCAAAATTTCACTACAATTCTGATTCTAGACATTCACAAACTACTACTGAAGATATTCCATATTCTGTATCATTCAACTTAGATTTTCCAGAGGAGCAGCTAATCGACCAAGTGATAAATGAGTCAGAATATACTTCTGAGATCGTGCCTACATCAAATCATGATGATTTACATGTTCAGACTGAGGAAGTTCGAATTCAAGTACCTGAGAAAATCGATCATGCCGTAGTAGATGCGATGAAAACGACTACAAAAACAATTCCAAGTAGTGATGGGCATATGAACAAATACAATTCGGATACTATGGGATTAGAAATATCGAAAATTGAATCGAGTTCATCAACTGAAGGAAGTCCATTAATTGATGAACATTTCCAAAGCTCATCTGAAGCGAAACAACCTAGCGGATCAAATAATTCACACTCCCCATCAGAATATACAGACTCAACTATACATTCACTTGATTCTATTACAACGAATGAATACAAGTTTCATGAGGAGTCAATTACAAATATACACTCTACAACTGAATTCGGAATATCTGATGATAGAAACTTCAATTCACGAGAAAAAATGGACCAGATATCAGATAAACATAGAGCAAATGAAGCAGAGGAGAATAGATCTAAAATAACGAGTGAATATTCTTCTCCAACAGTAGAAATGCAATCGAACCTGCAAGCTATGTTCAATCCTTGCTTCAGTCCATACCCCAACCCTTTTTATAATCCATATAAAATGGCCCTACCAGCACCTTACGATGGCAATCAAGTCATGAAAGTAATACAGTCTAATAACCAGAAAGCTCCACAGTTTATTCTGAATCCTCCTATGTACCCATATATGCAACCGTCTTATCTTCCGACTCAACAGTACATGCCAAATTATTGGCAACAGACTCTTCAGCAAAGTCAAAGTCAAAATACCCATCCGATTCAAGTTAGTGGTCCAGGAGGACAGTTTTATGTTTGCAACCCAATACCACCTGTCACCAATAATATTGCTTCAGTTTCTGGAATAGAAGTTAGGAGGGAGTCATACAATCTTCAAGATATGCTGGCTGATATTCCAGAGGAATTCAAAGCAAGGTTGGTTCATCCATTTCATTGTTATAATAACATCCTTCTCATAGTTTGAAATGAGCAAAGACTCATAATGTGTATCTGACAATTTGGATTTTATTTCGGTCTTCAAATATCGTGACCAAGATGGAAATGCGCATAGCTTGAAAACCAAGAAACTTGTGGGCAATACTGTTGAAGTGTGTTCATGCTTTCAGAAAGTGATTCAAATGATCTCAAATGGACGTTGCTTTAACCGAATACCACTGATATTGTCAGTTGAAACAAAATTGTTATCTCTAACAAATGTATTTCACCCATATCCATTTCGTCTTGTGAGTATTGCATAAACCAAATTCGGATTTTCATTCAATGATTTTCCCAAAAAGGGCTTACAAGTATTATCAAAATTCAGTGGTATCATTCACAATGTGTGAAGAAACAAGACTTGGTGAATAAATGAGGAATCAAAATGATATTTCAGATCAAATTAACATAGCTTCTCCAGTGATGAAAAACTTATAATTCCAGCAACAAGAGTAGAGAAGCCCCTATATTATGTCCACTCGGGCAACAATCGTGTGAAGATGGAAGTAAATGCATACCAAAACATCACGTGTGTGACAACGAAGCTCACTGTGAAGACGGTAGTGATGAAATGTTCTGCACGTGCAAAGACAGAGTTGGTAAACTGAGGACTTGTGATGGGTATTTCGATTGTCCCGATGGACAGGACGAACTGGGATGCTTTGGTAAATATGATTATCTCCAATTATTACTCCATCAGAATATAAACTCATTTTACTGAATATAATCGCTTAAATCATCCAACCCCATCCCATTGAGTATCCACATTATCGAGATCTTCAGGTCTGGTTGCATGAAACATTTGACAGACGATCACATATTCAATTTGTTCATCACTACCTACAGTAACGTGTGTACCTTACCTGGTGAATAAGGAGCGATGATTCCTCGTTAAGTCAACCCAACTGGCAGCTGGCCCTTTGTTATATTGTTTTGATGATACATTCAACAAATATAGTATTTCTTTTTCTGAATGTCTAGTATTTTTCAGGTTGTGAGAAGGATGAATTCAGTTGTGATGATTGGTCGAGATTCCGAAAGAGCACATGCATCCCAATAGAGCATAGGTGTGATGGAATTAGACAATGTGAGATAACTGGGAAAGACGAAGAAGACTGTTCAGTATTAGCCGACAACGTTGGAGATCAGCCTCAGTTCAAGATCTCGAATTCGGTTGGATTCTTGCACAGGAATTATAAGGGAAAATGGTATCCAACATGCTTTGGTACAGATTTGTGGGCAACGGAAATCTGCCAAACAGAATCGGGACCAACGTCAATGTGAGTTTGTTATCATGATCCAGTGCTTGAAACTTTTGAGTGATAGTTCTAGTCCTTCCCTGCTCTTTTTCAAAACTATAATCGAAATTATCTGGTAACTGTTGTTTACATAAGTCGGGATCTGAAGATTCACCTAAATGGGATTGATCGTTGACAAGATATTAGCTGAATGTTTCCGAAAGGGTCAGACTGACGTTTGAATTCCAACTGCCCAAGAACTCAACATGCCTTTCTATCTTTCTTCAATGTCATGTCATATTATATTCATTATTGTATTGAAAGAAACATTGAATCATCAACGTATCAACTATATTTATGAATTCGATATAATATTCCCCACAGTACTCCGAGATCCCACATGATGTTAACAACGAACAATTATGATGGCCACTTCATAAACATCCTACCAAACAACAACATCAACTTAGTCAAAAACTGTGTACAAGATAGAGCTGCATTCGTGGAATGTCCACCACTGTTTTGCGGCCTCAGAATGACCATCAATAATCCTTACCGTCCCCAAGAAGTGGACACAAGCGCAGAGAATCTGATCAATGATATGGAGAGAGGAGCAGAAGTCAAGAAAGAAAATGTTCTTCTGGGCAATTCAAGAGTTGTTGGAGGAAAGCCCAGTCAACCTGCAGCTTGGCCTTGGCTGGTATCTATTTACAAGAATGGAATATTCCATTGTGGAGGTGTCCTCATCAATGAGATGTGGATAGTTACGGCAGCCCACTGTGTGGACAAGTGAGTACTCAAAATTTGATTTTAGAAATGGTATTTCATGAATCATGGGGCCAGGTAGCCGTGCGGACAGAGTGTCAATATTCTAATCCGCATTCGCTTGCCGGTCGTGGGTTCGATTCCCATCGACTGCAGAAATTTTTCTGATGGCCCAAGAAGGTGTTTTGGATCACACGTTAAAAGGTAAGGCCCCCCGTCATTCGTTGCTCGCTCAAGTCTCTCGGAGACTTCTGAGGGGGCAACCGAATGACGGATAGAACAATTTAGAACAATTTAACAATTTCATTTAAAATATAGAAGTATTTCAGAATTTGCACCGGTTAATTTCTGTAATATCCCCATCACAGATCTATTTTCTTTTGTATCATGAGGTTTAAGAGAAATCATTGGTTTTAATCATTTCTATTCCTTCTTCCTTTTTATTAAAATGTTTTCACATGGTCATAATTGAATCATTGATGAAGATATTGTATTTTATACAATAGAACATCTTCCATTTTTTCATGATGGTTCAATTGAATATTGACGACAAATCGAATGTCTTGGCGCTACTTCATGCAGATAATTTGACCATTGCAGCACACTCTAATATATATAATATACAATAATCAGAAGGGCAGTAGATTCTCCAGAATCCCAATTATATTATTCTTTATTGCCCTTGTATGAATGTAAGTGGAATCATGACATTTCCTGTCATTTCCCGCGACATTGATACTGATTTTCAACGGTTAATTACTTTTCCTCCGATTGGCAGCAAATACTAATTTTGCTGACACATATCAATCAGCAAAGTGGTCACTTTGCTGATTGATATGTATCAGCAAAATTGAAAATCCATAAATCGTTTATAATTTCCTTCATATTTCATCCGAGACTTCTCCAGCAACAAATTCAACTCTATATTTTTTGCCACCTCCCTTATTAATGGAGGTGTAAGTATACTTCCAGGTCGCTTTCACTGTCCATTATATAATAATTTAAATATACCTACCGATATTTTTTCGCACAACTGTCAGAAATTTCATGAATTGTCAAACCAACAACTGAGATTTCTATCAAATTTTATTTTAATTGAACACTATACAGGAAGAATAAAGAGATTGTGGGAATTGTATTAATTCGCAAATACAATATTCTCCCATATCATTATAAACAATCGGAGAAAAAATTATATGTTCAACTCAGCAGCAAAGTGGATTGACTGCCTTAGCTGGATTCCTAGCCTCGCTACGCTCGGCTATGAATTCAGCCACGGCAGTCAATCTACTACTTTGCTGCCTAGTTAAACAAATAACTATTTCAAAGTTCTTATCGCGTATAGATGCCTTTTCGGACATCTCATACATCTGCATTTTCACAACAGCATTTGCAGAAACAGCAATGAGAATGAAACACTATAACGCGTATAGAGTGTTCTATTTACAACGTAATTAAATGGAAAATACAATTAAACTGATCATCAATCACTCGTGCCAACCTTTAAAAATATGGATATTGATAATGTTAGAATAATGTAGAGTCACTAGATGGTATTATAGTTAAATAAGAGTTTGGACACAGCTGAACTTCTGTCTTTTTCTATTTCCTATATTACAATGGTGTGAGTGAATAAAAGAATGAGACATATATTCTTCTCTTTGTCTTTTCAATTCCCCTAGTTGCGCCTGAATGTCAGATACGATTTTAGAGGTTAGATTTTTTGTCAAATCAATCATTGTCGTAGATGGAAGATAGAAATATGGTATAAATACCCACTTCAATTCACATAGTGATACACTTTTCGTAGAGCAATAGTTATTGAAGTGGAAAGAATTCATGAAACAACATTTTTCATATGACAAAATAGATACATATATGGATATACTCATAGCTAGTTCCTAATTGTATGTAAAACTGTACCCGAGTGATAAAGTTTGAAACATGAAGATTTGATTTTCTACCTCTTGCTGCATTCACTTTTTACTGATAAATTTTGAATTTGGTCGGTATTGAAAACGCCATTCAATGATATTATATCACATTTTCAATTTCAATTTACCTAGTTTTGCAATCAATTCCTCTTATTTTGTTGAGCATTTCCTGTGATGATAATATTGGATTTTTTCCAATAGTCTGTTTTTATAACGGAACAACGGATATTATGAATCTTCTGTTTGAAAATGGGCCTGAAATATAGTTTCATTCCAATCTGCTGGTATAAGAAGTGAATTCTAATGTATGTACTTACCTTTCTTCAAATTGATTCTCCATCCAGGCCATTTCATTCATCCCATAAGGGAATGGTTGATATTTTCTTTGGAAAATTAAAGAAATGAAATCGCCATTTCCTTCAGAATTCTCGCAATTCATTACATTGACTTTTTCAGTCATGTTCTTTTCTCAATAGTTATTTTTATTTCAATTCTGACGTTCATATTATTGCCAAATTCAAACAATTTTGAATGAAAAAGCTTGGGACGACTATGATGCTGTTGTCACAATTTAAGGTGTGTAACTCAAAAATTCTAAACATCCAAAAACACTAACAGTTGTCATTTCTGTGTCCAAACTCTTATCTAACTAATACCATCCAGTTACTCTAGAATAATGTATCATCGCATTAATGATATAATAAGTATTGAAATTCCGATAATTTTTTCTCAGTGTATTATGATAAATTGATTATTGTATTTTGTGCTAGTATTTGTGTAGATATAGTACCAACTCTGATATACATCCGAATTACAGACTTTCTTCTGAAGCAATCATATAGAAAAATGATAATTTGATACAAAATATTCATTCAACAATTCACTCAGGAAATGTCAGGTTATCACCATTAATTTGCCAAATGACATTGATTTCCCAATTTGTTACGTTATTGGTTGGTTTCATCTCTTCACTTTTAATGGACTTGAGTATCACAAATTCTGATCAAAAAAGAAAAGGTGCTCATCCTTATGTAGATTTTGACTCTTTTCTCATAAGTACATCTATTTTTCCACCTTGGATTCTCACATATCACGAAATGACAAATACATACTGTTGAATTTTGATATATGTAACAATAATTGTAGTATACAGTAATGCACACATTGGTACTATAGACAGATGATTAGTTTTCCATTGATCATGAAATCTGAAAGTATTTTCTCTTGACGATAACAAATTCATCATAATTCTATTATGTTACTATAAGGTATCAGAATACAGCTGCTTTTAGTGTTTGCTGAATGATCTACACAAATATATGCAAATTTTCAATGAATAGAGAGAATGATGTGGTAGATCTGAAACATTGAGATCATTATCTGTAACTATTGACATCGTAAATTGAACAATATTTGGTTTGTTTGCTGGAATGATCTGATTCAATGTGCTTTAGGAGAATGACTTCATTTTAGTATAAGTATCACATCTTTAACTATGTTCCTCTATACACCAGCTCCTTAGAGTTACCTTTCCGGAAAATATTTGTTGTAAATCTAGAAAGTCGGCTACTTAGACACGATTGAAAGATTATATAAAACGTTTTGTCCATGTTTTGTCCATTCGAAATTTGCTTATGATGGTCAACAAGTGTCTTCCTATTTCTTCTCTACTTGAGAGAATTGAATAAGAGATGAATAGAGTAACTCTTCCATAAAGAAGGAATACAAAATAAATGGGTATTGTGACTTTGTGGAGAACATATACTTTCCTGAATATTTGTGAAGATTCATTTAGAATCAGTGCCGGATTAAGGGGGGGGGGCTCTATGGAATTTCAGGAGGCGGTAGAGAAAGAGAGAAAAAGCAAGCAGCAATACAGTCGTCGCCGACGAGGCGACAAATATATTATATAGCTTCTTGCTTTTTATATACCGCCTCTTCAGTCGTCTTTTGAAGCAGAAGCGCAATTAGCTACCGCTGGCACCGCATCAGAACGACTTGTTTGAGATACTGTTTTTGTGAAAATCATAACATGTATTAATCTAGCGTCAGCTGTGTCTTGGACGTTACAATACAAAAGCGGCGGCGGTACATACTTTTATTTGATGATGAGAAAAAAACCGCATTCTACTCAGTAGAGTAGGGGTAATTTTGTGATTCGTCTGACCCAATAACAAAAAAAAATCAGAGTTCAGTATTCAATAGGTTGTCGTTGGTAATGTTGGTAATGGTACTAATAATGAATAAATATTGAAACTGAAATTTGAAAAAATGAGTACGAAAGGTGGTGCATTCTGTAAACGGCAGAAGATCAATAAACAAAAGCAGTTAGACGAAGTTGTCAATAAATGCCCCAAAATACATTCATTTTTTCTAAATTCAAATGAGACAGTATCAGAACCGACAGAACCGTCTCCGGTTCACGATCTCAAGACGGGAATGATAAGTCAAAGATACACTTCATAAAATAAGCCTGAACAGAGAGGAAAAGATGCAAGTTCGCTGTCAATCTGATGCACTGGCAAAAAAAGTATCTACACTAGAGTTTCTCATTCTGGTTATTTTCTGGTAAGATATATTAGAGAGAGCAGATCGAGTCAGCAAGTCCCTGCAAAACTCAAGCATAGGCCTGGACATGTGACTCAGTTTATATATTTCATTGAGAAAATATTATGAATGTTTGTGGGAAAAGTTAAATTCTTACGGAAAAGAGGCACAATTATTTCTCTCGAAAGAACTTAACTATAAGGAGGTCAGAACACGTAAGAGGAAACTGGCTCTTGAAGAAGCTGACACTGAAGCTTTATTGACACCACAGACCAGAATGCGAACCCAGGTATTCCTCAAAGCAGTCGACCATTTGGTGGGTGAAGTAAATATTCGTGCTGAAGCCTACAAAGATATCTCTCCTACATTCGCATTTTTGTTCTCGATTGCATCTCTGCCAGATGATGTCATCGTAGATAAAGAACGTGTTTTGATTGATGTATACCCAAATGATGTGGATGAGTCACTCGGCAATGAACGTGTTCAATTGAAATATTTCCTGAATTCTATTGCCGAAAACAGAAGTGATGAAATATTTGATGC